CCCGCCCTGATGCACGCGGGTGCCCCCTGCTTTGGAAGAGAGTGCTCTGCCCCTCAGGCTCCGCAGCCCAGGCCTCATGTCATCGTCCACGGCGGCGCTGGGTGATACCATGTGACCCAACAGGGGACAGTGAGGAGGAGGAGACTAAGCAAACAGGCGCCCCCCACGCTGACTTCCCGCCTTCCCACGGACGGCGACGGCGGAATAGCGGGCCGAGGCCCGGACAGTCGGGGAGGAGGCGCGTCCACGCGGGCGGACGTGGCGCGTGGGCTCCAAGGCGCCAGGCGCAGCCGATGTCATTAGAGCTTTATCCCCAAATGCAGAAATGTACCAGGCAGTGTTTTTCTTTTTCTTTTTTTAAAAATTATATAGCACCTTCTTCCTCAGTGGTTTACATAAACTGTCAATAGTTTGTAGAATATTTTTCATTACATTTCGATGAAACGTGCTTTATAAATTGAAAGCCGACAAGGAAAACCACTGTCTCTTACTGAGGTGTGCGTCAGAGGTGAGATTGGGGACGATGAGCTTTCCACCACGTCACCTTGGGGGTCGCTTTTAGCGTTTTCTGTCCCACATCTTGGTTATTCGGTGCAGCTTTCAGAGGAGGACTGACCGATTTTAGAAATGAGAAATAGCGGTAAAATGATGTCCTACTATTCAAGTGAGTTTTGAAATGGGTCGTCTTACTTTATCGTATGTCTGTTTAAGAAGATGCTGAAGTCCGTGCCGTTTGTCCAACGTGAGCCCCACGGGCCGGGAAAACCATCCTCCCGGCCGGAAGCAGAGTTTGGGAAGGAAAGTCTGTGTTTCCGCATTTCGGTTCATTTCTGAATGCCGATGTTCTGTCTGCTGATAACCGTTGCGTGTCCCCCGAACCCCCACGAGTCTGCTGTCTCTTCCCCCCTAGAGTACGCCCTGGAGCCCTGTGACGACCCCGGCGTCCCCGCCTTCAGCCGCAGGTTCGGCTTCCGCTTCGGAGTGGGGGACACGCTGACGTTCACCTGCTTCCCGGGGTATCGTCTAGAAGGTGCCGCCAAGCTGACGTGCCTGGGTGGGGGCCGCCGTGTGTGGAGTGCACCTCTGCCAAGGTGTGTGGGTAGGTGGTCACACGCTTTCATTTCATTCATCCGGTGGGGACAGGGCCCGGCGCGGTCAGGACCAGCAGGCAGGGCGGGAGCCGGGCTGCCGGGGCTGGGACCGGCCGGGGGTCTTACCTCAAGGTCGGCCCCTCTCAGCTCTGAAGCTCCATGAGTGAGCAAGGGGCAGGCTCAGGCACGTGTCAGGTGTATTTACGAAGGGGGAAATGTACTTAGACTTCGCGTCTGGAAAGATAAAAGCTGGCAGCCACGCCTTGTGAACGCAGCCTTTGACGACGATGTGCATTAAAAACACGGTCTCTCCTGGCACGGCGATGGCGACGATTTAAAACAGGGGCCGTTTCATTTCCTTCTGGTTTAACTCCTGGGCGACTGCGGCGGACACGTGAAGGCCGCCTTAGCCTCTTCCAGTTGTTCCTGAGGATTTCGAGAGGTCGTTCTGGGGGGCGAGGGGACCTCAGGTGCTGTGCCGACAGGGGCATCCGGGGGTGAGTCGGGGTCGTATTTATCTCCAAGGGGAACTGCGCTGCCGTTAGGAGTTAGCAGAGAGGGCAGAGGGCAGTGTCGCTCCGACGTGGCGTTTGCCTGCGGGTCTGGCGGGAGCCCCACAGACGGTGTCTGGTCCCTGCCGCATTGCTCGACGTGCATGGGATTCGCCATCTGTTCTCTAGAGTTACAGAAAACCGTCTAACGGCGGAGCATCGTGACGTTCGACGTTTGTCTAGAGATGAACCATGATGGCCCTTCACTGTGAGACTTCTGAGTCCGTGGGAAGTCCGCGACATGCTCTGTACCGGTCTTTCTGGCTGATAAACCAGTTGTGAAAGTAAATTTCTTACTCCCCCAAATACTGGGTCGATAGCTTAGCAACAGCAGACTTTCCCTGGGACTCGAATCTCTTTGGGTGTCAGCATCACTTAGGAACGCCGTAGGATCCCGAAGGTCACGCCGTCTCTTTGTGCCCGAATGAACCGCAGACAGTCAGAGAGTCCGAACTGGACTATGACACTGTCAAACCAGCGACCCTGAGTCTGGCCGTCTCTGTCTCTGGCCGGGGCACATCCGTGTGTTTCTGCCCCCGGCTTTCTCCCAAAACAGCGCCTCTCGTATCTTTTTGGTTATGATTTTTTATTTGAGAATTGGATGCAAGTTTGAACACTGACTCAAGAAAGAGAAAAGGCACAGTATTTTGTGGATGGTCCTAGGAGTTCCCCGAGATGCCTGGAATCCGTATTCCTCAGGTTGGGGATGACGGAACAAGATCAGGTCTGGAAGAAAATCTCAGTTCAATGAAATCGAAGCGTCGTTCTACAGAAGTCGTATTAAGTGCTTTACGGAGCATCATGTTCCACGGGCCGCTATTCTATCTCGAGTCTAAATCCGCGCTGTTGTTCCTGTTGCCCGGGTCTTCACACCGTTGCTACGACGCGAAATGAGGAGCCGGTGCTGTGGACCGCGCCGCTCTGCGCCCCGGGCGTGTGCGACTCCGCAGCGGCCTTGAGCAGGTGGGAGCGCCTCCCGGTCCCGCCCCGCTGGCTCGCGCCCCACCGGCCTCGCCTACCTCCGCGCCCTCCCGCCTGCTGCTCCCTCACTCAGCGGGGTGCACCTCCTTTTCTGTGAGGCCGATGTCCCGATTTGGGGACTCGCCTCACCTGTCCCCTTCTCCCGCCCGCTTCCCCACCACTGAAGAGCAGCCGCCTCCGCGATAACCCTCTGCCCCGTCAAGCTTGTCCTCATCGTCTGCCTCCCCGTGGGGCTGAGCACTCCCCCACGGTGGGGGCCCCCCATCCCAGGAGGCAGTCCGAGTGAAGACCCGTGTGTACCAGCGTTCCCTAACCTACTGCTGTGCTTTTAACTCATTTTTTTTTTAGACAGGGTATTATGAACCTATACATCCACATCAGAATAATTCCTAAGTAATATGGCTGAGAGCATTTTTAAAAACCAGTGAAAATGAGAGTTATCTTGATGAATATCTGAATTCCGTTTGTTGAACAAACTATAATGCCTTGAAATGGAATAAAATAAGAAAAAAATCAACACCCTTAGCCTCACTTGTTTAATCGATTACAAATATTTTAGAGGCAGAGTAAACAAAATATTCTGTCCGTATTTTGACAAACATAATATTTTCTGATGATCTTAATAGCTTTAAATATTTGGACCAATTCTATTTAAGCAATATTTTTCCATACCAACCGGTCTATTGTTCTCACTTATTTATTTGCTTAAAATTTTAAAATAAAATGTAAAAAACTAATCTCTGTTGAATCTGAAAGGTTAATCTGATGATAGCATTTAATTAAGGAAATAAAGGATTATAGGATAATAAATGGATTTAAATGGGAACATTTTATGTAATTCTTAGATATACTTTGTGAGTAAAAATGAGATTGCATATTTTAAACAATATAGATTCCATATGTGCATAGCATACATTATGTATAGATATAATAGAGATAGGTATAGACCCATTTCATTTGAAAATAGTTGTATCCATCTTTGCACGCCACTAGATTTAATCCAAAACCAATTTCAGACGGAAGACATGCCTCGAAGAAAGCATGCGAGGTAGCTGTCACGTGTCATCGTGGGGTACCTCCTGCAGTCTGAAATGTGTTGCCCCCGTGCCCACCGGCTGCCCGCTCCTGCCCACTGGAGTCACATGCCTTCCTCTGGGGCCCTCTGCTAGCTGTACACGTAATTAACTAGCAACACGTGGCTGCTTCTCACGCCCACCTGTGTGGCCCTCAGCAACTTAGTGACGTTCGCTGGGCCTGGGTTTCCTCATCCGTAAAGTGGGTGCGATTATCCACACCAACCTCATGGGCTCGCTAGATTTATTCAACGATTAATATACATAAAAATACGCTCTATGTAAGTGCCAGGCAGACCACAGAAGAGCAAGTTGCTGTTCCCTGTCGGGCACAGCGGAGTTGCCATTGATTTGCGGGGCAGCTGCTCCATCTTCAGGGCCGTCCACCCAGACGGGGCGTAGAAGGCTTTTCGGAGCCCTGCTCCCCAGCCCTCTCTCCCTCTTCTGCACAGTCCGGAGGGCGCGTTTCCCTGCGGGCGTTTCCGCTTCTCCAAACAGCCCTTCGTCAGGACTCCCTCCCCCCTCGCAGACTGCCACGTGCTTCAGTGAAGCCACTGGTCCCCGGCCTGGCCCCGCCCGTTTGCAGCCCCATCCCCAGCCCCATCCCTCACGTGGTCCCCGGTGGTAGCGGTGCCGACGAAGCCACGTAAACATCGCGTTCTCCTCGCGCCTGAGACTCCGTCCGCGTGTCCCAGCGCGGTCCCCGCCTGCGCTTCTCCCTGCGCCTTTGGCGTCGCCAGCCCGGCCGCCTCACCGCGCGGTGAACCGAGGCCCTCGAGCTCAGGTGGCTGGGCGCATTCAGCCTTCGAACCATGAGATGTCCTCACTGGCCTTGCCGTAAAACCAGGAGACGGCAGTGACGACTGCCACCCACGTTCATCGGAGTAGCGTCAGCTCAAGACGGATACCCGCCCCAAACCGAGGAACGGCGCCTGCGCGAAAGTCTGTGACGCATAGAACAGTACAAATATAGATAAAAGTGATAACACGTATTCCATGGGTGCATAAAATAAAACCCTGAGCTAAAGGACTTTTTAACGAACGCCGCGAGTGCATATACCGTCGCGCACGCGGAGAACTCGCAGGAGGAACCCGCAGGAGGAACCGTCTCCCGGCGTCGGCGCGTGACGCTGGAGCCCCGCAAGGCCCGCACCAGGCGCCGGCGCCGCGGTCTCTCGGCTCCGCTTCGGCTAGGCATGCGCAGTGGATAAATGGCTCATTTTTTTAATAGTCACTTAGAAACTTCGTGTCCCAGCATGAGAAGCGCCTGGTGGCACCTGCGGGGCCTGCGTCTCCGAGGGGCGGGCGTGCGGTGCGCTGCGGGGCGAGGGGGCCGCTGTCCGCCCGCCGGTGGTCGCCAGTGACCACAACGCTTGTCACCGCCGCTTACCGCGGACTCGCTCTCAATTTGCGCTGAGTGTTATGTATCTGGTTAAGAAAAAAATCCCCAAATCCAGTTCCTAATAAAAACATCGGTACATTTTCAGATTTATTTTTTTCTTCTCATGTATCCGAATGCTAAAGTCTTCTATTTCTACCTTTTTGTCGTATTATAAGAAATAATCATACAGGTTAACGTCTTACATGCTAGTAAAAAAACAAACATGGTCTCCAGTTACTTGGTGACTTATTCGGAGTCAAAGGCCTTCAGAGTCTAGTCCCTTCCACGATAAACTCGTACCACCCCAGTTTCATTACTACCTCTAGGTCACATTATGAATTGTTAACTCTCACACGTGTTCGGCCTTAAACGGCAGGAAAAGGGCGCGGGTTCCCGCCTGAGCGCTCCCGGCAACCCCGTGACTGATCTGTATCAGCCGTGTGACCTCGGGAAAAGCGCGGGATTTTTCAGCTATTCTGGGCTCCAGTTTCCTCATCTGTGAAGTGAGGTTTATTCGCATATCGGACGAGGGGCCCGTGCGGATTCAGTGATTCGAAGCACGTGAAGAACTTAGAAGAGCACGTGACACCGAAGCCCGTCGCCGCATTTCACACGCGAGCCGCCTCTCCAGAGGTCGTGTCCCTTGGAAGGGCGCCGCCCGCAACCGAGGCTGGAAGATGCCCTGCGCGGCAGCCTGTGCGGGCTGGAGATGGACTTCGGGGTCCCCCCCCCCATAACTAGAGCAGGAGGCCAGGGCCCGGTGGCAGCGAGCGCGGAGCTGCGCGTGCGGGCGGAGAGGGGCGCGGCCGTCACGGCGGGGCTCACGGGCGGCGGTGACCAGGGCATCTCCGGGCCTTGGCCGTCCTCGCAGAGCGGCCCCGAGGACGCAGCGGGACTTCGCGTCGCCATCTGCATGGTGATCGCAGAGCGGCGGAGCTGTCGTCCACTCGGGTTCAAGGTCCTGGGACGTAGCGCTGGGCCGAGTTCATGACCCCTCCATCCTCCTGACCTCATGCAGTCAGGGAAGACGACTACCCAGCGCCTGCGGACCCGGCGGTGACCGGAAGGAGGGCCAGGGCCGGCACTGCCCCTTCCGCCTCCCGCCCACTTCCGGCGCCTGGCCGCCAGCGCGCGCTTCTCAGTGGACATCGCGCGCGGGGGGCAGGATGGACCCCGTGCGGTCAGACGCTTGCCGAACCGACATGCGCACAACCAGCGGCCGTCACCATGAAGTTATTTGGAAGGCTTCCTCAGACTGAAAATATCCATTTGCCATTATTCGTCATTATTTTTTATACCTTCGATTGCAAGACATTTTTTCACACTTATAAGGTAAATGGATAAAAGGACCTAAATTTGATTTTCGAATGTTTTCCTTTATTGATCACTGCCAGATTCGATTTTAGATAAAAATTCCTCGTATTTGTGACGTGGTTCTTAGAATTCAGTGAGTGTCCTCTGCTGTTCGCTTTGTGTCCACTACCTTTAACGAGCTGGGAACCCTCACGGTTCCAGCCACACGCGGCCAAAGGGCAATACTCTGCTTGGCTATTTTGATGTTCTTTCATTTATTTTGGCTTTTATGTAAAAAAAAAACACCCTCTTTCTTCAGGAAAGAAAGCGAGTAAGAGTGTGTTCAACCAGGCTCATGAGGAGTTATCGTTTCCCGTGGAGATTATTTACCTAAAATGTTTCGAATTTAAGGTATGAAAGCCTATTTCTTCACTCTCAGGTTTCCTGAGAATCGATCTCAGATTGCCCACACGAAAGGGACCCCGCCCTATTCGAAGGCCACCAGGACCCAGGCCTGAGTGTCAAGGCCCAGACCCTGAGCATGGGGGACGCAGCGCTTGCCTTTGTCTCCACAGAAGCGCTTTCTCAGAAAGTAGTATAATAATTAGGCAAATCCATAGTATAATAGCCATGACTATAGCTCTAGTTTAGATAACAAACAGTCCATCACGTTGAGCTGAGTCACCGATTTCCAGAGCTTTTTCTCGACACCCCCTCCTCCTGCTTCCTGACACCGCCCGCCTTCTCGTGCATATCTGAGGAACCGGGACGGGCGAATCCACTGCCCCGTTCCCTCCCGGCGCTTCTCCACGACGACCTTTCGAGGCCCAAGTGTGCAAATCGCTGCGAGCCGATCAGGAATGTCCAGCTCCTCCTCCCCCCGGCAGGCGGGCTGGGAATCACGGCTGGTGTCGGAGCCGATTTCACGAGCGGCCAGAGAAAGG